GGGCGGGAGACAGGGGCTGAGACAGGAATGCCTATAGCCAGAGGCCGCTTTCTCCCTCCCTATCACTCCCTTGTGGACATTTCTATCAGAAAGGTTAAAAGACGTTTGACAAGGAAAACAATGAGCTTGAGGCTCTGAAGACAGTTTTTAGGCTGAACCTCTCCCTGGGAGCTGAGCAAATACAATCAGTGACAAACTACAAGGGCATAGCCTAAGCCCCTTTGCTTCTCAGTTGGCTGACTCTGCTTGTCAGCAGGTCTCGGAAAATGGCACTGTGGAGGCTGCCCCGGGCTATCTTCCTGAGCCAATCCACAGGTCTCATGTCACTAGAGCCCGGTCCAAAGCACCACTGACCAATGGCGGCTCTCCAGGGGTCAAATTTCAGGGACGGCTCTACATACCATATTCATTTTCTAATGATACAGTTTGCTAAGTGGGAGAAGGAGGGGCAGGGACAGAAGTGGAGTCATGAAACAAACGGGGGTTTTCTAGAATGGATCACCACTGGGAAACAAGGTATATTTTCTTCTTTGCCCAATACACAGGTCACTGAGAACAGAGAGTCACAGGAAAACAGCAGGTGTGGGGCTCAGGTAGTGAGTTTCTGTTACTCACAGAAGTAACAAATATGGTGCATTTCTTTTATTTTTATTAACTAAGAAATACAAATTCAGCATTCAGGATTTCTATTAGTAACAGGAGCTCAGATTTTTAAAAATTTGAGTAATCCGGGCACCTGGGTGGCTCAGTCCTTAAACATCTGCCTTCGGCTCAGGTCATGATCCCAGGGTTCTGGGATCGAGCCCCACATCGGGCTCCCTGCTTCGAGGGGAGCCTGCTTCTCCCTCTCCCACTCCCCCTGCTTGTGTTCCTTCTCTCGCTGTGTCGCTGTCAAATAAATAAATAAATAAATAAATAAATAAATAAATAAATAAATAAATAAAGACTTTAAACAAATTTTTGAATAATCCACAGGCCCCAGATCCCTTTGAATTTTATTCTAAAATTCACAATGGCTGAATTAACAAAGAATGGTTCCTATCAGCAAAACTCCCTCTCTAGAAAACACAATTCTGAAATTCAAAATTGAAGGGGCTTGGCAGGATTGGGGAATGGGGATTAGGAGGTGTCTTAGGCTCTATTCTGTGAATATACATATTCTCCATTTGTTTCAGAATGACGTGTTTACCTGAACTCCCTGGCAGCTATAGGATTTCTGAGCTAAAGACCCTGTGACATATGTATTTCCTTAATCATATAAATGTTCAAATGAACATTAAATAATTCTAATAAATTTAAACTTACTGCTCAGCCTTCAAGACTGTTATGAGCTTAGAATGCTCTTAACTGTATAATGACTATTCCGTTTGTACATGTGTTAGTGTATATGAATACATACAAAAACCGTGCATTTGATGTCTGGTTCATAGTTGAATTTTTAGGATACCATAGGAAGTCTTTTTTTTTTTTAAGATTTTATTTATTTATTTGACAGAGAGTAGAGCCAGAGAGCACAAGTGGAGAGAATGGCAGAGGGAGAGGGAGAAGGAGGCTCTGCACTGAGCAGGGAGCCTGATGTGGGGCTCGATCCCAGGCCCCTGGGATCATGACCTGAGCTGAAGGCAGATGCTTAACCATCTGAGCCACCCAGGCGCCCCAAGGAAGTCTTTGATGGTGTATTCGTGAGTGACACATTCATATATAATTAATGAAAAAAAAAAAACAGCCTCTTGCTAGTGAGCACAAAATAAAATGATGAAATGGGAATGAGTTAATTCAGAGATTAATAGTCCCAATACTTGGCAGAGCTAGGTGATGAGAGAGTATAGTACAGCAGTGAGAAAAATATTCCATCTCAATGCTAGGATACATCCACAAATACATGTAGTATAAAATAATTTCATTATCTGTAGACAGTTTTTTTGGTTACTCCTTAATCTCCCTAAACTTTTCTGTTACTTATTTCCATATTGGATGACATTGCATTTTCATTTATGGTTATTCAGACATTGAGATTTCTTTGGTTATTGTTATAATTCACAAAGTATGTTTTGTCTTTCTTCCTCCCAAATGGAAATCAGACAACAATGGCTTTCTGACACCCAAATTTCCTGGCTCTAGAGAAAGGATATCTATGCAGAATATTAATTCATTTAAATCCATCTTTGCAAGATGAATTGCTGTAGTCATTACAAAATAAATCCTTTTTTTTTTTTTTTTTACAATACAGTGCTATATTAGTTTCAGGTATACAATATAGTGATTCAACAATTCCATACATTACTCAGTGCTCATCATGATGAGTGTACTCTTAATCCCCATCACCGGTTTCACCCATTCCCCCACGCATCCCCCCACCCAAACATCAGTTTGTTCTCTATAGTTTCTATAGTTAAGAGTCTGTTTCTTGGTTTGCCCCTCCCCTCTTTTTTCTTTGTTCTTTTGTTTTGTTTCTTAAGTTCCACATATGTGTGAGATCATATGGTATTTGTCTTTCTCTGAGTTATTTCACTTAGCATTATACTCTCTAGCTCCATCCATGTTGTTACAAATGGTAAGATTTCATTTTTTTTTTATGGATGAATAGCATTCCATTATATACACACACACACACACACACACACACACACACACACACCACATTTTCTTTATCCATTCTTCTATTAGTGGACACTTCGGCTGTTTCCATAATCTGGCTATTGTAAATAATGCTGCTCTAAATGTAGGGGTGTATGAATCCCTTTGAGTTAATGTTTTTGTATTTTGGGGGTAAATACCTAGTGCAATTATTGGACTGTAGGGTATTTTTAACTTTTTGAAGAACCTCTATGCTGTTTCTTCTATCTTTATTTATCTCATAATGTCATACTTGTTACACATTATGTTCCATCCTTTTTAATGTAAATATATCTCAGTATTTTCTGAATATATATATGAAATGATTTGTGTTTCTCTGCCTCTAAATCATAGAATTGCATGCCTTGAATGGCTTTAAAAAAAAGCACGTGCCTTTTTTAAATTAAAAAAATACATAAATAAAGCATGTGCCTCCTCATGAATTCCTTTACAATTTCTTAGTTCTTTTAATCCTCTCTTTGTGAAAGTCAAGTGCTAATTACTTGGAAACTTCCAAGTAATATTAAATTAAGAAATTTAAAATTTTATTTTAAATTTAGAAATTTAAATTTAACTTAAATTTAGAAATTTAAATTTAGAAATTTAAGTTTAGGAACAAATATTCTCTTCTGGCATTTGAGTTTCTGATTTTATACCTTTTCTGATTTTCCCAAATGAGAGCTGTTGTCTTTGTGTATGACAATTCTTTTTAATGAGGTGCTCTTCTACACAGCTGTTTTCTCAGCATGTTGATATACTTGCATAGCTATATGTTAAGGTTATATTCAGGGTATATTGCAGTCATACTTCATATCCTAAACTGAGATCCTTCCACTGTGTTAGTGGTGGTCCTTCTGCTTTGTGATTTTAAATGACAGCAACAAAACCAATCACTAAGAAGTCGGGTATAATTATAGAGAAACACATAAAGAGAAAGACAATTATTAAAGGCATATAAGAAACATGTAAAAAGAAGGGTCCTGAAGTGAGGCTCCCATGGAAGTGTCCCCATGACACCTGTTCAGCTTATCATTTTTTAAAAAGAAGAAGCTGAAGCTTCCTGCTTAGGCAGAACCTGTTTTGATATTGCAGAAATTTTAAAAACCCTATCTCACCTCTTTCTGCCACCTGCGGAACCCTCCACAGAATGCCAAGGATACCCAGACCCTGACCAGGGGAGGCAAAGCAAAGATGGTAACGCAGCCCAGCATGGGCTGAACGCTTACCTGGCTCGGGCCTCAGAAGGAAGCGGCAGGTCGCCAGCTGAGTGGCTCGGGGAGGCGGGTGGCCGAGGCGAAGAGAGGGACATGCTGTGCATTTGCTTTGGGGACCTTGGCACTTCACTGAAGGTGCAGTCTCGCCCAGGGAACGGAAAGGATGAGGAACTCTCCACCGTGGGGGCCAGGTCACGGGCCTGCCCGGTGGCACTGGGCTCCTGACCCCGTCTTTGGTTTTCCACGTTGAGCAGCACCTCGGTGTCGGAAAGACCGTCGCCCCCGGGGAGGGCATAGTCCTTGGCTTCGACCACGCACGGCCTGGAGTACAGAGAGCTCGAATCTTTGCCTGGCTCGGCCTGTCGGTCACCCTTCCCTCCACTCTTGTCAGCAGCATCAGCATCCTTCCTGGACTTGGTGTATCGGGAGGGCGATTCCGAGTCCGCTTCGGAATCCAGCGCTATCCCGTATTTCTCGGCCAGCTGCCGTCTCCTTTCTGCTTTGTACCGTGCGATTCTCTCAGCTTTGGACTCCAGAGCCTGGGTGTCCATGAGACCTGAACCGCAGGAGGAGTCAGCATGGACGCCCGAGGTTTCGGTGCAGAGTTTGGAGCGGGTCTGCTTTTCCACCGAGGAATCCGAAGTGTCTTCCTCTTCATTGGACCGGCCTGCAAGGGGACCACACAACAGAGTTCAAGGACAGATGCACATTTACCGCGCTCTGTTCTGTGCACAGCACGCACCTGAGCGCCCGTGCTGCGGAGGACCCCTTCTCACACAGCTGTACCTAGCCACAGCAACCACCTGGGCTGCAAGAAGTGCGAGACCCGCAGTGAAATCCGCTAGCCCTCGAGGCTCCGCAAGCCACCTACCGCACCGCCCCCACGGAAGCTCCGCTCCTCACTCCCAGCTGGCCGCCTCTTATTTATTTACCTTTCTGTTTTTGAGCTTAATATTTCATGTGCGAGGCCAGAGAATGAGTTCAGAGTCCTCTAGAAAAGATAACAGATATCTAAGCCACTGTAACTTGACAAGTGACAGACTGTGGTTTCACAGGATCTGATAATAACCAGAACAGCAATGGGCCATATCTGTAAGTACCAGGTTCTTCATGTGTGTTGTTTTTTTTCTTCTTTTTTTTTATAGAAGTGGATTTTTCCAATTGTAGCACACATGCTTGATACAGAAAATGTCTAACATGAAAACATAGGAAGGTAAAACTCTACCAGTAATCACTAATATATAATAATAATAAATTGATAATTTGCCAAACGTAATAGGTCTTCCATAACTAATTTAACCATTCTCATATTCCTGGGCATTTACATTGTTTCTAACACTTTTTTTCATTATTTCTAACTTTTAATCAGTCTGATTTTCTGACTACTATCACAACAGGTAAAGGTATAATCGCTTTAACAAAAAGTAACAGAAAGACTTGCTAGACTGTCAAGTTGATTTCTATAAAGTTTACATCAATTTACACTTGAATCTGCAATATATGTTCACTTGCAAACATTAAGTGTTCATTTTAAAAATTTCCTTTGATTACTAGAAAAAGAGAATATGTGCATTTTTCACTTATTTATTAGCCATTTGTATTACTTTTTTCTTCTCTGGAATATCTGATAAAGCTTATTTAAGCTCTATATCCTATTGATTCATAGTGTCATTTTTATTGGTTTGCATGCATTTTTATGAGACCATGAACCTTAATCTTATTCATGAATATTTCAAACTTGTATAATATTCTGTGACGTCTATGTGTAAGATTTTCTTTGGAGTACAGATGTGAATTGTTATGTAGTCAAGTCAATTGACCTGGTCATTTGTGATTTCTCCAGCTGTTTCTGCATCTTGAAAGTCCTTTTTCATTCAATTTGAATGAAATAGTCACCTATGTTTTCATGTTTTTATTTTCTTAAAATTAATCATGTGATTAATTGGGACTTATTTTTGTGTTTCGTAGATGTCCCCTCTCCCACTGCACAATAACCTGTTTTCCCAGTACCATTTTATTAAATAAGTCTTCCCTTTCTCACGAATACGTGATGCTTAAATTATCATATAATATATAGATACACATTTTACATAATGAGGGTTCATTTCTGGCTATAAATTTTGGTACTCTATTCTTGATTCTTCATGTAATTTTAAAAACTCTTAATTCTCTAGTTTTCTGGCCATAGAAGATCAGGAACTCTAGATAAGTGACATGATCACATCACAAAGTGAGATTGACAGCCAATCCCTGAGGAAGAAACTAGAAAACACTGGCCATAAAAAGCAGCAGCACAGAGCTGCAGAGCCAGGGACGGGGTAGGAAGAACATCCCCATATGGGTCATCCTCTTCCAAGGTCAAGTTGAATATTTGATATTCCTAACGTTGACAGTTATCAAAAACAAAAAAAGTTATGTTTGAAATACGGTTTAATACGAAATAAATATGCAATACATTTTAAATGACATGTAAATAATTTACATTCAAATAATTTAAATAGAATGTTTGTTGCATTAACACATAGACTGAACCCTAACCACTCAAGGTCCAGGTTCACTTTTAATGCTCCCTGCTGCGAGCAGCCCGGCCCTGTGCCGGGCACCTGGTTATTCTGTTTAAGGGAGTCTCGTTCAGTCCTCTAGTGAACTCTTACTGAGGATCTCAGACAGCAGGTCCTGTGCCAGTGCCCAGAAGGTGCCAAGAGGAAGACACAGTTCCTGCCCTTTAGGGGTCCCAGGCTGGGGAGTGGGGGAATGAAATGACGTCATCAGTTTCCCATCAGTGGGCCAAGAGGAATTATTTCTTACTGCTCTGATACCAGAGGACCACACCTAGGAGGCGGGGCATCCGCATCATCGCAGCTTTTCACAAATAACGTGTATTCAATAAGTACATCTACACAGTTCCCGTTTGTGGAATATCTCATTTCCCAATGCCACTGGATAAAAAAGGCTGCGTGGACCATGTCGGGCAGCCTGCGTGATGGCAGCGACCAGGCGAGCATGCTCACCGGTGTGGGGGCTGGCCGGGTCTGTGGCTCGCATGTATCTGGGCGTGTCTTCCTCCAGCAAGCGATGCGTCACTAACCCCGTGCAGCTTGGCAAGAGGATAGGCTGCGTGTCCGTTTCGATTCCTTCGAGGCGCCTGGCAATTCTTTCTTTTCTGTGCAGGACACCAAAAACTATCAATTCTCAGGAAAAAGTGAATACTGCTTCACCAAGCGCTTCTACTTTCTAATTAGGTATAATCCATTTCTTACCTTTTCATTTCTAAAAATTCTTTCCTCTTTGGTTCAAAGACTTTTCTTAATTCTGCAACTAAAATAAAACAGAGAAGAATAAAAAGATACTCCAGATTTCAGTAGTCATGCATTCATTCTACTCATTCATGAAACGTGTATTTATTGAACTTATGTTTCTGTTCTTGGCTCCCATGCAGCAGAGATACACAAAACTGGCGCAGTTCCTGTTTTCCTGGAGACTGTCTTCTAGTGTGAGAGGGCAGATGCCACATGGGAAGCATGTACACACACACACGTCACAGGCTGCACTAAGAAGTAAGGGATGGATTAACAGGAATGAGTTCTGTTTCATCCAAGGGAGTCAGAGGAGGCCTGAACATTAAGATCTCTCCAGCTAGCAGATATCTCACTAGCTGTTTTTGATTGTTACTAGGTTCAATAAAGTATTCCAAGCTTTTCATTATGGAAAACTTCTAACGTCTGCAAAAGTAGAGATCAGCACTAGAACCTCCACACACTCATCAGCAAGCTACAACCACCATGTCTCCCCACACTCCTATTTCACACTATCATTGAGCCTGTAAAAATCTGTAACCAGCTGATTGTTTCCAGCATTGTTTCCATCCCTAACAGAGCATAGAGCCATTTACTGCAGTTTAGGTTAACACAGTTCCTAAGCCTCCCCTTACTGGCTTTCACTGGAAGGAAATGTTAACATTTGTTTCCTTGCTATAATTTGGGTGGATGATGGATAAAGTAACAACCCGAATTCTCCTGGCAACACTGGATGAGCAGACAAATGTTCTGCTAAGGTTGGGAGGGTCTCATGAGATACTGTCTATAAGGATATCACTGAGGGGCCAAATAATTGTTTCTTTGGAGAAATGGCCAAATTTGGTGGAAAATAAAGGTCTCTCTTCTCACCTCTTGCTCAGTCACATGAATTTATAAAGGCTCATCTGAGTGGCTCCTGTTGAGGACCCAGGAATACCAGGGAGAGGTGTTGCCGACAGCCCTGGGGGCCCATGGAACTTTGAAAGGCTGAGTCAAAGAAGAAACTCAACGGAGGCATACTAGAATGCTGGAATATTTTTAATTTTCTTTTTTTTCCCCTTAAGATTCATTCATTTATTTATTTGACAGAGAGAGAGAGAGAAAGAGGGCCCAAGCAGGGGGAGCGGCAGGCAGAGGGAGAAGGAGAAGCTCAGATTTTTTTTTTTATTTGTTTTTTTAAGATTTTATTTATTCATTTGAGAGAGAGACAGCAGAGGGTGAGGGAGAAGCACCCCCCCACCGAGCAGGGAGCCCGATGCAGAACTCGATCCCAGGACTCTGGGAACATGACCTGAGCTGAAGGCAGACACTTAACGACTGAGCCACCCAGGTGCCCCTTTTTTAATTTTCCTTTTGTTTTAAAGTAACCTCTACATCTTGGGGCGCCTGGGTGGCTCAGTCGGTTAAGGGTCCAGCTCTTGATTTTGGCTTAGGTCATGATCTCAGGGTTGTGAGATTCAGCCCTACATCGGGCTCCACACTGAGCATGGAGCCTGCTTAAAATTTTCTCTCTCCTTCTCCCTCTGCTTCTGCCCCTTCTCTCCCCCACTCTCTAAAATAATAATAACAATAAAACAAAGTAAACTCTGTGTCCAACGTGGGGCTCAAACTCATGACCTTGAGGTTGAGAGTCACATGCTCTACGGACTGAGCCAGCCAGGCGCCCCTGAATTCTGGAATTTAACTTTCAATTGCTTTCATTTCTATTTTTTACTTTTTTTAAGTTGTCAATTTTGTAATGATTCAGGGCTACACACACACACACACACACACACACACACACACACCCCTTTTTTATATTGCCCTTTGTCTTCGGAGATACAAGCCTTGTTTTTATTTATTTTTAAATGATAGCTGCCTTACAATTTCAGTTAGATTGACTTCTGTTAAGATGGTTATACGCAACTAATGAAGCACTGAACACCACACCGAAAACTAATGATGTACTATAGGTTGACTAATTGAATTAAAGAAAAAAAAATAGTTGGCTTCAAAAAAAGCCTCTCCCTCAACTGGCTTTGCCAGGAACCAGAGCAGCTGCAGGCAGAGGTGCACTTGCTCTGCACTGTCAAGTATGTTCCTATTCGGAAGACAAGGGTATAGGGGTAATGGTGCGTCCTGCCATGATGCCTTTTGAGGAAGCTTGACTAATAATAGCTTCCCAGTTAACCAATTAGCTCCAGCAAGATTATGGTGATAAAACTTCCATGACTGGTAGTGCATATTTTGAAAATATTTTCAAGGATGATATAAACCAAAGAGTATCAATTAATTATTTAACCCCCAAAAGAGCAAGGGGCCATATTTTTCATAAGATCGCTCCAGAAGCTACTGAAACCAAATTCCAAGTGCTCTGAAAGGTAGGTTTCGGACTCAACGTGTCAAACTCGTAACTGAGAAACACTATATTACTAGGGTCTTACAGAGCAGAACACCACTGACATTTCCTCCACCCAAATTATTTCAACTAGGTATGCTACGGTCTAAATGTTCATGTCCCACCCAAATGCATCCCCATCACCCAAAGTGATGATATTAGGAGGTAGGACCTTTGGGAGATGATTGGCTCTACCCTCAGGAGTAGGATTAGTGTCGTTATAGAAGAGGGCCCCAGAGCGCTCCCTCCCCCCTTGTACGTGAGGCACAGTGAGAACATGGCAGTCTGCAAGCCAGAAGAGGGTTCTCACCAGAACCCAACCATGCTGGATCCCTGATCTAGCCTCCAGAACTAGGAGCAATAAATTTTTGCTCTTTAAAAGCCACCCAGTCTTGGGTGCCTGGGTGGCTCAGTTGGTTAAGCGACTGCCTTCGGCTCAGGTCATGATCCTGGAGTCCCTGGATCGAGTCCCGCATCAGGCTCCCTGC